AACTGACATACAAGAAGTTATCACGAGGATCGTACTTGCCACAAGTATAGGATCGAGCCGGGCGCCACAAATAATCTACCTGCAAATCAGATTATCACAACATAAACCTCACGTCTTAGTGAATAACATCTACTAAAACATAATCAAATAAAACATATAATCATATAATGATCCATTTTCTTAATTATGTAGTAATTAATCAATACTAGTTAATGGTATTCTCATAATCAATTTCTCAGTAACAATCTATTCATCAGTCATAATTTATCTCTAAATCAATGATTTATCTCTCAATCAATAATTTGTCTCTCAATCGGTAATCTAATTCTCACCAAAGATCTATTTCATTCAATGGGAATCAATCTCTTAATTGTATCTCCTTCTCACTCTCCCCCTAGCATAATCTATCTTTCTCTATGTTAATAAATCTATCTATCGTGATCTACTTCTATATTAAAACGAATCACTCTCTACTAAATGTCTATCTCTCTAAGTGGTATTAATATCTCTCTTTCTCTCTCTCTCTCTCATAATCTATTACTCCAATCCATCATTCATACTCTATCGATTAATCATAATTAATCTATCATTTATATTATATTTCTCGATAATGATTTAACTCATAATGATGAATAAATTATCAACAATAGTTAGTTATCTTGATCTTCGTATCATTCATATATCACATATCATAGATATCATAAGTATCAAATATATCACAAATATAATATAACAACTACTCAGAATTGATCTATCTTTTAATGTGATCTAGCTGTCGATTATAATCTATCTCATCAATAACAATCAATCTTCAGTCAAATGTTAATGTCTCAGAATACTCAATATCTCCAATATCAATCAATTTCTCATTAATAATTAATATAATTTATATAATATATATCACATATAACACATCAATGGATGTTAAGCTATTGTTACTCACTTGGTCAGTTGGTAGACTAATTCCAGTTTCGGTTTCATCCTTCATTGCATATCAGTTTGTTACATGGTAACACCTAGTCATCACATAATAAGTTCCTTAGAACGTATCCCAACTCACTACTAGGCTTAACCCGTAAGTTGTTAGCTAAATCTCTCATAATGGTCAACTCTCAACTATTGGTAGTATAACCCTAACTGTCTCGTCTAATTTATAATCATAAGATTTACTCACAATCTTACCAACAGGTTTGTAACATCACCATATCACAAAAACCTGTAACATACTCGGGTCTATCATTTATAAATAATAATAACATATCGTAAATACAATTTAACGAGTAAAAAATACCTTGATGTGTCTCGTAACTCGACACTCATATTACTGATAGTTCGATACAATGGTATAACTCCACCATAGATATCTCCCACAAACGAATCTATAGCATCGTTTCCGAACATGTGTGCCACACTCTCTCATATGACACAAGAGCTCTCTTATTTATAGTCAGATGCTCGTCACGTCGTGAGCTCATAAGTGTCACATCATGACGATCTTATACATTCCAATCTTGACATGTAATGTACTATTTGGTGACGTTTCTTATTGATCTGACTTGTTTCATGTCTTGACCATGTATGTCTTGCGACGTGAGGGTCAATAGACTCTTGTCTTGACACGTATGAATCTCGAATGTTCAGACGACTCAACACTCTTTACGTCATGACAAGCTAATTGCCACGTCGTGACATGCTTAATGCCAAGTCGTGGCAAGCATTCCTTCACATTGTGGGACTCAAAAATTGACCCTTGACATGACTTTCGTTGACTTTCTCAAAATCGCAATGTAGTTTTGTCCTAACTTGCAATGATCATAACTATCTGATATGAACTCCAGTTTCGATGATCTTTATATCCACGAAATCCTCTCAACAAAATTTACAACATTCCTAAGTTATCTTTTGCTAAATAACATTTATCAAATTAAAGGAAATCAAGGATTTATTTCATCTACTCTGTTCAAATGGTTCATATCTTGTAAATAATACCTGTTACGAAAAATAGATGTAACAACAATAGTGAAAATTTGATAACCTTGGAAGTAAATCGAGTTAGGGTTGAAGTTTAAGAACATTGTTATGTATATTTTATACATAACGAAGTAGTATGGTGAGTTTGCTACTAAAAGTTATATACGTTGTAAGGTATATGGACTTTTCCACACACACACACACACACACACACACATATATATATATAATATTATATATATATATATATATATATATATATAGTGGGAGGATCAATAGAAAATACATAAATCTAAAAAAAACCGTACAAACACTATAAATGCATAAACAATACTTTGAGATAACTATTTTTTTTTTTACTTTACAAACCTAAAAATCACAACTTTTTATTCAAAATCGTTATATATATATATATATATATATATATATATATATATATATATATATATATTATATAATATATATATATATATATATATATATATTTATTCTAATTTGTTTTTCAACAAATTTATTAAAAACCTGTGATTTTAGCCTTGTAACATAAATAAAAAAGTAGATATCTCAAAGTATATTTTTATGTATTTCTAGAATTTCTATGAATTTTTTATGGTTTATGCGTTTTCTATTGATTTCTCTCATATATATATATATATATATATATATATATATATATATATATATATATATATATATATATATATATATATATTATATATATATATATATATATATATATATATAGGATGGTTGAATTGAGAATAAAAAGGTTGAGAAAGAGGGAATGAATCTGGACCACTCATTTCGACTCTGCCACTTAAGCGATGCATCGTACCGGGCCGACTAAACAGATCATATTCAGATATGAGTATGTATATTCATATATGAATACATATAACGGAAGTGATTATTCAATATATAAGTATGACAACGATGGGTGGTGGCGAAGGTGGTGGTTGGTTGTAGAGGTGGTGGTGGTGGTGGTTGGTGGAGGAGGGAGGTGGTGTATTCACATATAAATACACATATATTTATATTCATATATGAATATTAGAGAAAGGTGGTAGCTCTCCATGCAAGCTATTCTAGCAAGTCTTCTGTGGAGGAGGAGTAGCACTATGCAAGTAACTTATTTCACTAGTTGAGATACACAGATTACTCATGGTTGTACGAGCTTGAATAGTAGTTGAAAGGACAAGCTATTGAATACACATTGAACCATGGAAATAACAATCTTAATGGGCCTATACCAGAGAATCTTGGATCAACCTACAATGCCTAGTTCTTTCTGATAATAATCTATCCGGGTTGATTCCTTCCAAGTCATCTTTGTCTTTTCTCAGGTTAATATACCTGATCTGAGCTATGCTCAACATCGTAGAGTTTTTGATCAGTCTTACAAGTCTAGGATCATACCTGATGAAAGAAAGGAGGCCACTTGTTTAAGTCAAGCAATCATAGAGACTGTGAAGATTTAGCTGTTATAATTCTACCTCTACTAGCCTCAACAAGGCAGAACCAAAGTGAGTAGTGAAGGGAGAGGAGTGAAAACCCGACTCAAGGCATAGTAGATCTATTCTTACTACCTTACAACCTCCCCCAATCTCGCACAAAGACAAAGAAGGAAGATAGTTTCAGCATGAAGCTTGCTTGGATAGAAAGAGAAAGTCTTTAGCCTAGCTAGACTGAAAGGAGAGGAAGCGCCTAAAAGAAAGCCTTTTTTCGATATTTGAAACTCCTAAGAAATCTTGTCTTCCTCTGCTGCCCCTGGAGAGTGAGTTTGTATGCGTGTTGGGTCTTTCCCAACTTTCTCACTAGGCAAATTATCAAGTCGATGCTTATATAACTGCATTTTGATACTTTCACTTTTCCCTTCGATGAGCTGATCTTGAATTGCAAAAGTGATAGCTTATATAAATGCATTTGATACTTTTTTGAAGACGAGAAAGAATTAGCCTTAAATATTCGGTCTTTTATTTCAATAAGTAGTCAACTACGGGCTAAGAGGCCTCGTAGTCAGACTTCACATTGATTGAAGCAACTATTGGAGAGAAGGCAACAGTTAGACCTGCAATTACCGTTTAGTATGCAGCGGTGGTTTTCAATCATACAATGTGTACTCGTAGTCTGACTTTCAGCGGTAGTCAGCTGTCCTCATTCTCCTCTTTGAATTTCTAGTCAACCTCCTTTGGCCCGGTACACTGGAGTATTTGCAGAAAAAATAAATGATTGGCTACGAATGATTATCCCATAGGTTATAAAAGAATATTGACATGCATAGGTTAATGTCAATTGTATAAAAGTGGAATGCGTAGGTCGAGAGGCATAGGTGATGTAGGAAGGAATCTTTTCATGAATGTGTCAATATCAATAGTATAGATAGTATTGTCATTTGAAAAAATGTGGCATACATATGTCGATGTCAAGTGGGTCTTTGCATTGCAGAGATTCACATGCCATATATATATATATATATATATATATATATATATATATATATATATATATATATATATATATATATATATAAGAGCCTACATTAATAATCACATGCCACACTTACCAAATATCTAGCAAAACATAAGTAGTGAGAAGATTGCTCGTGAACTTGGTAAAGAAGACATATCCTCAACTCTTTTACAGGCAGCTTTATAAAGGGTGGCTAGTCAATATGGATTACGTTCGGTGGATGGAGTTCCTCTACCTGGTCCTACTCGATATATCAAGGATCCACCTCCCAATAAAGTGGGTATTTATGTCAAGACTGTGGAGGCAGTCCTTCGCTTCCCAATATCCAAGTTCCTTGAATCTTTATTATATCACTATTTCATACACATAAGCCAACTAAAGCCAAATGCGATGCTCAAAATCGTGGCATTTGAACTCATATGCAACGCAAAAAAGGTTGAGCCTTATGTTCCCGTATTCCATATTTTCTACAGGTTATCTTCTAGTGAAGATTGGTATATTTTCTACAACCATGATAAAGAGAGACAAATTGCAGCAAATCCAAAAATACCATCTAGGAAATGGAAACAAGAGTTCTTTTGGGTGAGCAAAACCTCGTACCCCAAGGGATGGTATTTAGTGACACATCAAGGATGGTTAATGACCCGACCATAAAAATTATCAACCCTCAAATATGTAAGGACTTAAGCAAAATAGAAGGGTATTGTATACCAGGAGATGAGATCGACGAACTCGTTCTTGATGCTGGTGGAAAAAGGGTTGTGTGGGATCGACACAACAAACTCATGCTCCCTATGCTATTCGTGAGGATTAATGGTAAGTGACTGTCATTTTTTAATAACTATTATCCAAAATTTGAAGTGTAATTTTCATATTAGCCTTTCTTGTTGTGTTTAGAAAAAAAAAAGTATATGTGAATATGTTAAGAGCTCTTATGTGTGATTACCTGAAGGAATGCTAACTAGAGGCGGATGTAGTATCCTTATATTTCTACTAGGGTAATGAGGGGGAAGAGCATGTGATGAAGAAAACAAGAACAAAATTGGATGTTAAAGAAGACAATGTCGATGACCAGAGTGACAATGATGACGGATGTCAATCTGTTAGCCCTATAAGACATACCACTTTTATGTCAGTCTTTTCCTAATTTTCTAATACACCATCCAGAAAGAAGAGAAAAGACTATGCTCAATTGGTGTTCATTACTAACGCCAAAGATGTGGAGCATCATCAAGGTTTTTGTGGTAAAAGCAGGGTTTCTTTTATGAATGCCATGCAAGGAGTAGCCATGGAGGTTCCCTCCGTTCAGTGTGTTACCACATTTGGTACAACAAGCTCACTTATTATTATGGGTGATGGTTCGAGCTCTAATTTTGGGTCATGGACACCTCAAACATCCTGCATGGCTGATCCAACTAGTATTTTTCATCCATATTGGAATATTACTTGTGAAAACGATGTGTTGGACTCAACATACAACTCTGAATTCAAATAAAATGTCTTTACAAGTAACTTTGTCCCAAATGGACAAGATGAGAATCGACAAACTCACCAGGAGATGTCACGTACACATGGTGTAGTCCATGGCCTATAATGTGGGATTTGATAGACGGTACAAAACTGAACTTGAATAGGCTTGCGGTCTAGTAGTTTTGGTCTCCACTGAAGCATCGGGGTATATGACCACATATGAGCTTACCAAGAAAAACCAACAAGAGGCACATGATCGTTTGGTTCGTCAGGTTTCCAACCTAGAACTCGAAGTAACGAATCTTCGTGCTAGCGATAGTAAGTTAAATGGTTGACTCATCTAATCAAGGAATGATATGGGTTGGATGCTTCAATAAGGTATTTCCGAATATTTTGATAAATCCATGTGTTCTGAGACATTTGTGAGTAACTCCAAAAGACTTTACAAAGCATATAATGACTTTGGCATATAACAAGGATGCAAATTAAGGAAAGAAAAGTATGGATTTCAGATCTCGGAACATGAGATGCCGAGTGGGCATTCCGAAGAATTGCAACATGCTCTGGTAGCCTTTTCCAATGAAGATTATGTGGCATCATCTGGACTGGACCAATCCATTTTTGAGGCTTTTAAAGCCTTTTTAATTGAAGAAGAAGAATGATCTATGCTTCTTATAAGATGTATTGTTGTGTACCATTGTAATGAATGGTTATACTTTTTTCATTTGTAATGAATGTCTGTACTTTTTTCATTTGTAATTAATGTATTTGGGTATTTTTAAGTTGGGAGAATAATGACTGTATACTCTTACTGTATGAGGAGAGAGTACATGATATGCCCCCCCCCCCCTAGAGGGTGAGTTGTGTAATGTATAATGTTCAAACTCTCTCATGTCGTCGAGAGTGACTTCACAATTATTTGGATAACCCAGGGAAGTTTGTCTTTTCTAGGTGTGGAGGGCACCCATAATATGTCTCATCAACCATATGCAAAGATAATGTGGGA